GCAAACTGCTGCCAATATTTCTTCTACTGTTAGGGGCTCATCAAGGAGGGAACTGTCTAATTCACTCAAGGTGGGAAATTCAAGAGAAGTAAAAAAACCTACAAAGGAGTCCTCAGTCGGAGCTCCAACATCTGAATATAACATTTCGTAAAAATGAGCAAAAGTCTGATTAATAACAATCGAGTCAGTGGAAATTGTGCCATCCGACGAATCGAATTTCGGGTATAGAGCTATCGGCAGCCTCCGTGCGGGAAAGATATGCCAACAACTTACCATTGTTCCCACTATGCTCAAGCAACTGAGAGGATAAATAAAGTTGTTGTTTACGAGATAAATCAACTAGGTGGAGCTGTAGGGCACGATGAGCGTTGATTAAAGCACCCTGAGACTCTGGCGAGGGGAAAGAAGTATACTGAGAAACGTGCGGGAGAAAAGAGGGTCTCAAGCTGCCTTTGGGTAGCCCTAGTAACCTTACGGTAATGACCAATATTGGAAATATAGGACCTCCGAATTACCGCCTTAAAGGTGTCCCATTGACAGCCCAGGGAAGAAGAGTGTTCATTAGTAGCCCAATAATTAAGCATTTCAGTAAGAATGGGTCCCTGAAATTCTGGCATAGAGATCCAGAGAGGGCTGAGCCTCCAAGAGTGAAAAGCAGGCTTATGGCCCAATTGTAGTTCTAAGCGCAGCAGAGAGTGATCCGCAACAGTGAGGAACATACGAAATGGAGAACACCCAAGGTAGCACCGCAGGCGAAGCCAAAGCATAATCCAACCTGGAAAGAGCACAATATGATTTGGATTGACAAGAATACACCCTGGCTGTAGGGAATTTCCAATGCCAAATATCATTATAGTGAAAAGAGTCTCACACCACTGCCCAAACAACTTAGAATCAAAAGAGAGGGGCCTCAAGAAGTCCAGCATAGGATCCAAGATCGAGTTGAAGTCCCCCAATATAACAGTAGCAAAACAAGGCAGTGAAGACAATCGTACACTTAAGTCAGTAAATATCACAGCCATGACAGGAGGGTAAAAGTAAACCGCTACCAGGATCAACAGGACACCATGTATTGAACATAGTAAAAGGACATTTTGAACTTTGGGGTCAGTATCACCTGATCACAGGAAAAAGGAAGGGCCTTACAAATCAACACAGACACTCCACATACGTAATTTGAATAGGTAGAGTGGTATCCATGTAGTACCAAATGTTTCTTAAGGGAAAGAATTTTGGAGCCCATGAGAGGAGTCTCTTGGAGGCATAGAACATGAGGATGATTGGACTTGAACTCAAAAACAGAGGCCCTTTTGAATTTAGAGTTCAGTCCGCGAACATTCCAGGACAAGAAACTCGAAAAATTAGAATATCGTGCAAAAGTTCATTTATTTCAGTAATGCAACTTAAAAGGTGAAACTAATATATGAGATAGACTCATTACATGCAAAGCAAGATAGTTCAAGCCGTGATTTGTCATAATTGTGATGATTATGGCTTACAGCTCATGAAAACCCCAAATCCACAATCTCAGAAAATTTCAGAATATTACATGCAATCAATAAAACAAGGATTTTACATAGAACAATATCGGACCTCTGAAAAGTATAAGCATGCATATGTACTCAGTACTTGGTTTGGGCCCCTTTTGCAGCAATTACTGCCTCAATGCGGCGTGGCATGGAAGCTATCAGCCTGTGGCACTGCTGAGGTGTTATGGAAGACCAGGATGCTTCAATAGCGGCCTTCAGCTCTTGTGCATTGTTCGGTCTCATGTCTCTCATCTTTCTCTTGGCAATGCCCCATAGATTCTCTATGGGGTTCAGGTCAGGCAAGTTTGCTAGCCAATCAAGCACAGTAATCCCACAGTCATTGAACCAGGTTTTGGTGCTTTTGGCAGTGTGGGCAGGTGCCAAGTCCTGCTGGAAAATGAAGTCAGCATCCCCATAAAGCTTGTCTGCGGAAGGAAGCATGAAGCGCTCCAAAATCTCCTGGTAGATGGCTGTGTTGACCCTGGAATGAAGCACAGTGAACCAACATCAGCAGATGACATGGCTCCCCAAATCAACACAGACTGTGGAAACTTCACACTGGACTTCAAGCATCTTGCAGTGTGTGCCTCTCCATTCTTCCTCCATACTCTGGGTCCTTGGTTTCCAAATGATATGCAAAAGTTGCTCTCATCAGAAAAGAGGACTTTGGACCACTGAGCAACAGACCAGGTCTGTTTTTCTTTAGCCCAGGTAAGACGCTTCTGACGCTGTTTGTTGTTCAGGAGCGGCTTGAAAAGAGGAATACGACATTTGAAACCCCTGACCAGTCTGTGTGTGGTGGCTCTTGATGCACTGACTCCAGCCTCAGTCCACTCCTTGTGAAAGTCCCCAACACTTTTGAATGGCCTTTTCCTGACAATCCTCTCCAGGCTGCGGTCATCCCTGCTGCTTGTGCACCTTTTTCTTCCACACTTTTCCCTTCCACATAACTTTCTATTAATGTGCTTTGATACAGCACTTTGGGAACATCCAACTTCTTTTGCTATTACCTTTTGAGCCTTTCCCTCCTTATGGAGGGTGTCAGTGATGGTTTTCTGCACAACTGTCAGGTCAGCAGTCTTTCCCATGATTGTGATTCCTACTGAACCAGACTGAGAGACCATTTAAAGGCTCAGGAACCCTTTGCAGGTGTTATGGCTTAATTAGCTGATTAGAGTGGGACACTTTGAGCCTAGAATATTGCACCTTTTCACAATATTCTAATTTTCTGAGATTGTGGATTTGGGGTTTTCATGAGCTGTAAGCCATAATCATCACAATTATGACAAATCACGGCTTGAACTATCTTGCTTTGCATGTAATGAGTCTATCTCATATATTAGTTTCATCTTTTAAGTTGCATTACTGAAATAAGTGAACTTTTGCACAATATTCTAATTTTTTGAGTTTCACCTGTAGAAATATGGTAACTAGGTGGAAGGGCAACAGGGGCCCAGGTCCAGCCGCAAACCCTGTCACCACTGCGATACCGTTAGGGGGAGATGGTGCGCAAACACACAAATCAAACATGCAAAGCAGCCACACCACAGGCAATCCAACAAAAATTTTTTTACAGGAAGACAAGCAAACAACCCAGCCCCTGCCCAGCTCCAAAAAAAAAGGAGTGGGCTTAATCCCAAAACCAAGTAAAGTCACAGGAAACATAACCTGAGGTCCCATGGTGGTCAAAAAAGCACCAAAAAAGATCAAACAAAAAAAAAAACCCAGAATCAGTCAAGCTGGAGTGTTAGGGAAAAGAAAAACCATACATCAGCAGCCAACCAACAGGCTAAAAAAACCTCCTTGCAGGGAATAATAGTGATCGGCCAGCTAAGAGAACACGAAAGAAGGTAGTAAGTCAGCTTGCTTGTAGACACTACAAAACGACCATCAAGGTATCAGAGGGGAAGAAGTAGATCTAGGGGAACGTGGCAGGGCCTCAAACCATGGGATGACCATGTCAGGGGTCTGAAAGAAATTTACTTTATCTTGATGTACCACACGTAGAGTAGCAAGGAAGAGCATAGAGTAGGACAGTCCATATTCACGTAATTTCTGCTTGACATGTTGGTATTTGGCCCTGAGGTTGTGAACCTTCATGGAATAATCAGGGAAGAGAGACACCACAGTGTTGTTGATGCGAAGGCTCCCTTTCAGGCGAGCAGCACGTAGAATCGAATCCTTGTCCCTGTAGTTTAGAAGGTGAATCACCATGGTGCGAGGGGGACTACCCCCAGTGAGAGGCCTACGTGGAACTCTATGGGCTCCCTCAATTACTAAGCAGGTAGGGCCAAATTCCTGTTCCAGCCAGATTTCCAGAAAGGCCACCGGATCAGACCCCTCCATTTTCTTGGGCAGGCCCACCAACCGCAAGTTATTCCTATGATGGAGATTTTCCAAGTCATCCACCTTATCCTCCAGAGATTTAATTTTACCCCCATACAAATTAACTTTAGGCAGGAGAGGGTTAAGCACGTCCTCCAAATCACTAATGCGCTTTTCTGTAGCAGATGCCCGTTCTGTGACTTTATGCATTTCCTGGCACATAAGAGTAAAATCAAGTTTGAGCTCTTCTACCTTCCCCATCAGATCAGAGTGATTTACCTTGATAGTAGCCATAACATCCGACAGGGTGGGTTTCACAGCCTCCTCTGCACCATCGTCACTGGGAGATGTCTGCGAGAGCAGCAGCGGTGGATCCAGAACAGGCGAGGAGGGCGGAGAGGCCTCCAGTGCCTCCCTGAAACAACTCCGGAGTGGAGGCCGGGGATGAGCGTGGAGCGGCGATCTTGGCAGGTGTGGGCACCAAGGCTCATCCTGGCCGGAGGCTGCTTCCGGTGCCTTTCCATCCACCAAACCTTCAGTCAGGAAGGTAAGGATGTGCCCCCGCAAGGGGTAAAAAAGAGCCGTGTTGCCCACGTGGGCGATCAGGATGGAACAGGATTGTCGGAGGATTAGTTAGTTTTGGCTTTAGTTAACACTGAGGGCTTAATACTACTTGAAAGTGGAATTCCAGGATCAATCTAATCTAAAAACGTGTCCCGCCCTTCTAACGCCTATACGAACTACCCTGTGGGAGAAAGATGTGTATACTTACCTATTATTTTGGTTGCTCCAGTCCACTCATGCGATCAGCCCCCTTGTGTCATCTAGCAGCAGCTTTAGGGGAGAGGAGAGAGAACCGACAAAGTATGGCCCATAGTAAGCCTATAGATGACGTCACCACTCAGGCATTCCAGGCATTTTCAGAGCGCTCTTTCCTCTCCCCTGAAGCCAGCGCTGGTTGACGGGGGGGGGGGGGGGGGGGGGGATCATCTGACCGAACCAGAGCAGCCTGAGAATAGGTAAGTATGTACATCTTTCTTCTGTAGAGTAGTTAGTACAGGTGGTAAAAGGGGGTGAAGAAGGTGGCAATAGCATATTATAATGCATTTGTTTAATCATCTCTTTTTAATGTGTGCTTTGTTCCAGGGAGTGGTCCTAGGATGCTATTTTGGGGCTCCAGCTCTCTACATCTGGGCTGTGGGCATCTTAGCTGCAGGTCAAAGTTCAACAATGACTGGTACCTACTCTGGTCAGTTTGTCATGGAGGTAAGTCCTATGAGTCTAAATAAATAAAAAACAATGTGCGCTATTAAACTAGTAAATAAGCTAATAAAATAGAGCCACTGCAATAACGCTTAAAAGGAGATCGCACACTTAACGTGGACCCATAAATTAATACGGGTCAACCAAGCATGGTAATTCCAAAAAGATGCTTTATATGGCAGCAGAGAGCGGATGACAGGCACCCTTTCAATGACAGTAAAAATGGGACTCTTCTCAGCTTAACGCCACATATAGAAAGAACAGAGGACATCTCCCATAGTGTAATACTGTTTTAATACCACATAAAATAATTCTAGAGTGTCACTCACATAATAGAAGCAGTAACATAGCGATTTGCAATTCAAAACTCCCGCTCCAGCCAGCAATGACGTCACTAGGCTCCGCTCCCACACACTACGCCACCAACCACGTGGCTTCGTCAGGTGTTAAAAAAAAAACCCCAGTGTGGGGGTGGAGCCTAGTGACATCATTGCCGGCTTTTTAGGGAACGGGAGTTTTGAATTGCAAATTGCTATATTACTGCTTCTATTATATAAATGACACTCTGTAATTATTTTATGTGGAATTAAAACAGTATTACACTATGGGAGATGTCCTCTGTTCTTTCTATATGTGGAGTTAAGCTGAGAAGAGTCCCATTTTTACTGTCATTGAAAGGGTGCCTGTCATAAGCTCTCTGCTGCCATATAAAGCATCTTTTTGGAATTATCATGCTTTGTTCACCTGTATTAATTTATGGGTCCACGGTAAGAGGTGAGCGGCCATCCATATATATTTTTAGGTGGTGAGGAACACTAAGTCAAGGTGGAGCACTGTGTTTTTTAAATACACTTTATTTATCCGGAGCACATCGTAGTGATTCTTCACCATTCAAGCACCTTATTTGATTTTCACCATTCACTTTATATGAAAGCACTTTATATTTATATTTTATATTTTGATTGAACTATCACGTTTCAATCTGTTTATAGACTATTATGTTTATATGAGTTAGCACAACACTATGTATGTTTTAAGTCCCATGTGTCATTTGCATTTAAAATTACTCAGCTGATTTTTACTGGTTGTATTGTTAGCTTTTCTGTGTATCTGTTTTAATCTTGGTAACCGTGTTGCTTCCAGGCAATTACAGTAAAATACTTACAGTGCATCCATAAAGTATTCAGACCCCCTTCACTTTTTTCAATTTTGTTATCTTGCAGCCTGATACTAAAGTTTTTTAAGTTCATTATTTTTTCCCATTTATCTACACTTTTAATGACAAAGCGAAAACAGAATTTTAGAAATGTTTGCAAATTTATGAAGAAGAAAAAACTGAAATATCATATTGGCATACAGCGGGTAAAATAAGTATTGAACACGTCACCATTTCTATAGGTAAATATCTATTCTATAATAAAAATTCTTTGTAAAAGAAATATAACAGCAGAGAATCGGTCAAAGGTAAATATAATTCTAAAGGTGCTATTGACATGAAATGTTCACCAAATGTCGGTAACAACCCATGCAATCCATACACACAAAGAAACCAAAACAAATAAGTTCAGAAATTATGTTGTGTAATAAAATGCATTGAAACAGGGAAAAAGTATTGAACACATGAAGAAAGAGAGATGCAAAAAGGCATGGAAAGTCAAGACACCAGCTGTATTCTATCAGTAAGTAGAAAGCAATCCTGCCCCTTGTCAGTGCAAATTAATATCAGCTGGTTCAGTCTCAACTGATGGTCTATAACATGGTGTCTTTATTACCAAGGTGTCACACAAGAAACATCTCATGATGGGTAAAAGCACAGAGTTCTCTCAAGACCTTCGCAACCTTATTGTTGAAAAAACATACTGATGGCATTGCTTACAAACGGATTTCTAAACTTCTGGATGTTCCAGTGAGCACTGTTGGGGCCATAATCTGGAAGTGGAAAGAACACCATATCACCATAAACCGGCTATGATGTGCTCCTGGCAAGATTTTTGGCAGAGGAGTGAAAAGAAATATCAGAAGAGTTGTCCAAGAGCCAAGGACCACTTGTGGAGAGCTTCATAAAGACCTAGAATTAGCAAGTACAATTCTTTCAAAGAAATCAATAAGTAAGACTCCATTGCTGAAGAAAAAGCATGTTGACACTTGTTTAAAGTTTGCTGCACAACATTTAGACAAGCCTGTGAAATACTGGGAGAATATAGTCTGGTCAGATGAGACCAAAATTGAACTCTTTGGATGCCATAATACACACCATGTTTGGAGGTCAAATGGCACTGCACATCTCCCAAAAGACTCCATACCAACAGTGAATTTTTGGAGGTAGGAACATCATGGTGTTAGGTCAGCGTACGATACTGGCCAACTTCATGTCATTGAAGAAAAGGATGAATGGACATATGTACCAAGACATTCTTGATAAAAATCTGCTGCCATCTAACAGGATGATGAAGATGAAAGGAGGGTGGACATTTCAGCACGACAATGACCCCAAACAAAAAGCCAAGGAAACTCTCAACTGGTTTCAAAGAAATAAAATAAAGCTGCTAGAATGGCCCAGCCAATCACCTGACTTGAATCTAATTGAAAATCTATGGAAAGAACTAAAGATCAGAGCTCATAGAAGAGGTCCATAGAACCTTCAAGATTTGAAGACTGTGTAGAAGAATGGGCCAAAATCACACCTGAGCAATGCTTGCGACTAGTTTCTCCATACAGGAAGCGTCTTGAAGCTGTCATTACCAACAAAGGATTTTGTATGAAGTTTTAAATACATTTCAGTTAGCGTATTCAATACTTTTTTTCCTTGTGTCATTCCATTTTATTACACATAACTTAATTTCTGACCTTTTTTGTTTTGCTTTCTTTGTATGTATGGATTGCATGGGATGTTACCGATATGTGGTGAAAATTTCATGTCAATATCACCTTTAGAAATACACTCACCGGCCTCTTTTTATTAGGTACGCCTGTTCAATTGCTCGGTAACACAAATTGCTAATCAGCCAATCACATGGCAGCAACACAATGCATTTAGGCATCTAGACAAGTTCAAGTTCAAACTGAGCATCAGAATGGGGAAGAAAAAGAAAGGGATTTAAGTGACTTTGAACATGGCATGGTTGTTGGTGCCAGATGGGCTGGCCTGAGTCTTTCAAAAACTGCTGATCTACTGGGATTTTCACACACAACCATCTCTCGGAATTACAGAGAACAGTCTGAAAAGGAGAAAATATCCAGTGAGCAGCAGTTGTGTGGATGAAAATACCTTGTGGATGTCAGAGGTCAGAGGAGAAGGGGCAGACTGGTTTGAGATGATAGAAAGGCAGTAAAAAAACAGTAACTCATATAACCACTCATTACAACCAAGGTATGCAGAATACCATCTCTGAATGCACTACACGTGGAATCTTAAAGGAGATGGGTTACAGCAGCAGAAGACCGCACCAGGTGCCACTCCTGTCCAGCTAAGAACAGAAAGTGGATGCTACAGTTCGCACAGGCTCACCAAAATTGGACAATAGAAGATTGGAAAAACGTTGCCTGGTCTGAAGAGTCTTGATTTCAGCTGCGACATTCAGATGGTAGGGTCAGAATTTGGCATAAACAACATGAAAGCATGGATCCATCCTGCCTTGTATGAACGGTTCAGGCTGGTGGTGGTGGTGGTATAATGGTGTGGGGGATATTTTCTTGGCACACTTTGGGTCCTTTAATACTAACTGAGCATCATTTAAATGCCATGGCCTACCTGAGTATTGTTGCTGACCATGTCCATCCGTTTATGACTACAGTGTACTCATCTTCTGATGGCTACATCCATGTCACAAAGCTCAAATCATCTCAAACTGGTTTCTTGAACATGACAATTAGTTCACTGTACTCCAGTGGCCTCCACAGTCACCAGATCTCAATCCAATAGAGCACCTTTGGGATGTGGTGGAATGGGAGATTGGCATCATGAATGTGAAGCCGACAAATTTGCAGCAACTGTGTGATGCTATCATGTCAATATGGACCAAAATCTCTGAAGAATGTTTACAACACCTTGTTGAATCTATGCCACAAAGAGTTAAGGCGGTTTTGAAGGCAAAATGGGGTCCAACCTGGTACTAGCAAGGTGTGCCTAATAAAGTCGCTGGTGAGTGTATATTCACTGAGAAAAATGGTGAAATGTTCAGTACTTATTTTACCTGCTGTAAGTATTCAGACCCTTTGCAATAACAGGTGCCTCTAATTTCTCTTGATCATTGCTGAAATATTTATACACCTTTATTAGAGTCCATCTGTGGAAAGTAAATTGCTTGGACATGATTTGGAAAAGCACACACCTCTCTATAAAAGGCCTCAGAGCTGACAATGCATACCGTATCAGAGCAAAAGCAATGAGGTCAAAGGAACTGCCTGCAGAGCTCAGACACAGGATTATTGCAAGGCACAGATCTGGGGAAGGCTACAAAAAAATTTCTCCTGCACTTAAGGTTCCCAAGAGCACAGTGGCCTCCATAATTCTCAAATGGAAGAAGTTTGGCATAACCAAGACTCCTCCTCCAAGATATAGTCACCTGGCCAAACTAGAACCTGCTGGCATGTTTTGCACACTCCATAGACACCTCACTCTCAGGAAGCAACTTGTAGAAGACCAGTCATAGGAGAGGCTTATGGACCGCCACTGCTGCTGAGCTTTGGTGGGATTTGGGACGGCCACTGCAGCTTCACAGGTCTCAGGATTTGAAATCCCCACGGCTTTCTTTCCTCTCACTTCAGGGATGACAGTACGGCTTTTGATTGGTCAGCACCATCACGATGTTGAGCAGTCAGAAGCCATCTAACCTGTACTGTCATCCCTGCAAGAAGAGGAGAGAAAACCGCAGGGATTTCAAATTCCCAGGCCTGTGAAGTAGCTTTCTCTCCTCTCTTTGCAGGGAAGACAAAACGGGCTAGGTGGCTTCTGATTGGTCAGCACCAATAAGTTAGTCAAAAGCCATACTGTCATCCCTGCACTGAAAGGAGAGAAAGCCATAGGGATTTCAAATCCCTAGCTGGGTTTGGTGCAGGGAGGCTTGCCGCAAGCCTGGGTTCACATAGGAGCAGTGGGGAAACCGCATGCGATTTGGAAAGGAATCACACCCCATTCCTGTTCAAATGGCATGCTATTTTTTGTGGTACAGTTTGCATACATACATTTTGTATTGGCGCAAATCGCAACACAAAGTATCTGATTCAGGGATTCGGGTCATTTTCCCGAGTACAAGTACTCATGAAAATACTCGGTATCGGTGCATCCCTACTATCTAGTTGTCTGATATGAAGTAAGCTATTTTGTCCATACACTAGCAGGAAGATGGCAGTACATACTGTTATTGTGGACCATGTTTTGTCACTGCGGAAGCAACTCGCAGCAAAAATGCCATTCTTAATTGCACGCCATGCATTGAAAACTGCAGCACATTTTTTTGTGCTGAGAAGGGATAGCATGATGCAGTTTTCCTGCAGCTGCCATTTTAAAAACGGTGCAGGGACCTTCTTCTGCTTTTCCTGCAGTTGCAGCAACCCATTCAAATGCATGGGCTGCTGTGCCCATGTAAATTTGGCCACAAGGAGACCGATATTTTGTGAACCTAGCCTTAAGAACAATCGAGCAGGAATATTCTGCAGGATATTAATGGTGGGGAACATGACAACTCCATGGAGTTGAGTGTTTATGGGGGTTGTATATTGCACTCCAACATATAGTTCTATAGGTACCTCTGGTCCCAAGTCTTAGTCTGCATTGAAAAAGCAACACAGGTTTTCTGGGGTGTGGTCCTCACACAGCCATTGTTTCTTCTGATTAATATTTTATAGACATAAGTATACAAACCTCTTTAAATCAGACAGGCTTATTAGTAGGTAATGAAGATGAGCACTCCCAATAATCCTGTTTAGGATATGTATAGATGTGCTACACCAAACATTTGGACTCTGGTGGAAAATCAAAATGTCTTCTCACTACTAGGTGGAGACTGCATGTTGAGCTAGTAAGACATCTCTTTTTCTGAACACCTGTCAGTAGTTCCCAGCTTAGTACCTGTGTATTGCTCTTGAATGCTAATAATGCTGTGTTTATTAATATTACTGTAACCGTTGGTGGTATACCTTCCCTAATTCCAGTTTAAGGCAATTGTACATTATTACAGCTGGGCTCTGTATACTGGCCTACTGTTGGGTTGGAGAGAACACTTTGTAATATAACATGTGTTCAATTGGATTTGCATATGTGTTCAAAGATCACTGATCTGTAGATAGATGTGCACAAGAAAGCACAACTGTTAAGTGGTATAAGTGGTATAAAAGACGTAAATTACACATGAGGCACCAAAGGACACTGCCATTGTGTGCTTTGGGTTCTAGCCATATTAGTCACCAGTATAGTTTAACTATTTTATTTTTTATTTTACAGGGCTTTCTTAATCTAAAGTGGTCCAGGTTTGCTCGAGTGGTCCTTACCCGATCTATCGCTATTACTCCCACTCTTCTGGTGTCCATTTTCCAGGATGTTCAGCACCTCACTGGCATGAATGATTTCCTCAATGTGCTTCAAAGCCTACAGGTCAGTTGCTTCAGTTACATGAACACGTATGTAATCAAAAAAGCTCACGAGCAATAAATAAACTCTACCACATGCTAAAAACTAATGAAAACTAACAAAAGCAGCTCACACTACCCACATACTCCTAACATGTGCATCAATGCAAAACATAAAAAACAGTGCAGCCTTTCTTCAGATTAAATAAATTGGAACCCAAATATCACAAAAAGCATTAATAAAATTTTGCTGTGAACATCGGTCCATACAAGTGAACGTTAATTATTAGTGATATCTTCAACTTGAATAACTCAAAGCCATTATCTTCATATATCTAAATCCTCCACCATGGATCACCAGATGTGCCCTCACCTGGAGTATTTGACCTCACGTTAAGTTTGGTCAAAAAATGCATGCGTCCCTTGAATTGGACATGGACCGGCAGGTGTATCCCAGGTTAAGGTTCCTCCCCCAGAGTTGAACACTTCCTTTATCTATCCTCCTCCACTGTGTATATGATAAAAAGGTAGGAAACACAGTAGTGCTTTATCCTTAAAAAACATTAAGCTTTATTAAAATATGTAAATGGCCACTCATGCTGTAAAGGTTTTGGGAACAACAATGGGGTTCAGGGTAGGATTTCTGCTGCTGTTCCTAATTTTTTGAGAAATGAATTGCACATGCACGCCGGAAAATGATCACACTGACAACTGTGCAGTATAACCACGTCCTCATGTCTGTTTATTGCAGGGCGGTGCTTAATCTTTTATACATAGAAAACAATAGAGTATACGTCATTATTATGTAAATATGATCATAGTCTAAAAAGCACATTTTGGTTGGCTGAAATATAGAAAGAAGGAAAAAACTTGAAACCGTTATCTCTTCACTCCCTCACATATTCAAGGCCGTAACTGCAAGATCCTCACGGCTCGACGGGAGGGGTTGAGAACATTGCTGAACAATCAAGTTAAGGAGGACTGCAAAGCCCAGCAGACAAAATATAAACGCACAACACATATATTTAGAAATATAAAAAAGTATAAAAGTAAATATGTATAAAATGTATATATATTCAGGAGGAAACCGAATAGATATTTTACCAAATCCATCACAACACTTTTGAAGTGCTGTATCGCAACAGATGTATAGCGCTTTTTATAAAACAAAATAGTACTGTGAAACCAGAATACAGAGAAACTCCTTCACTCATCTGAAATGACAGTCCATAGATCGGTATGTGAACAGTGTCGTTACATCATGAAGCCCCTCCCCTACGCATTTGCGCCACAGGGTCACGTGTATTTTTATGTTTTGCTTCAGTTATATGACTGGCCATCCTGTAGCCAGATTGGCCTCAACCACTTTTTTTGCTCAGTGCTGTCTTTTCAGATCTCTTATTATTAAATGCATTTTTGACTTCAGATGAAGCCTAGCTATGAAAGATCTTACTGTTTTTAGCAAAATAGAAGGGTAATGTGCACAATCCCTCAATTACTGGTACTTATTAATTATTTTTGTTTAGTCTACCAAAGCTGAACTTCAGGCTAGTGCACAGGTGAAATACATATAAAGGAGATGTTTTGCCTACCAAAGAATTTTAATTTCTGTCCTTCCGGTTGTAAAAATTACACAGATCTGCCACGTCTAATTGATGAGGCCACCTAATCTTTCCCTGCTGCAGTTTCACTTTCATTTACAAGTCCCTTTCCCATCCAGCCTGTGACTGGACAGTGAAACAAGAAGCAAAATACTGAGAAGCTCATCTCTGCCACTCTTCTCTCTTCCTAACAAGGTGCTCTTTTCACTAATTGACCAATTGCCTGACTTAATTCTTCATAAACAAGGACTACTGTAAGATCACATATAATATAAAAAAAAGATTGGTTCAGTTTGGTAGATTGTCATTTATTCCAATATGGTCTTTGTGATCACAAATATTGCTGCAATTCAAGGTACAAAGCAGTTCATGGGGCTAATGTGCCATTATCAATACAACTACCATGAGAGATTGTTTAGTATCTAGCTTCTAGTGTCTGCAGGTAATCTGTTGATTTGCAGATAGTATATAAATATCATTTGTAAATTGTGTATGCCAGGGCCACCTTTTTATGGCCAAATTTGGGGTGGGGGCAGTTTGCGGGTGAAGCACTGTTACAGGTCTGCACTCAACATGCATAAGGTGTTATATCCAAGAGCATCTCATAATAAATATGGATTAAATACGTATGTCAGAAAGTACATAACCTTTGTGTGTGGCTGTACACTGCTATTCACACTGTAATATGGTGTTGACATTAACCATCTTATTTCAGTGCTATGATTGAATGGTCTTACTTTAGTTTTATTGCGTTAGATCATATGAATGATTATATTGTAATTGGTCCACCTCTTCCAGTGTGTTCTGGTGTAAGCAAACATGTATAAGTTTAGCCTCCTGTGTGCTTTATTTGCACTTTTATTCTGCAGGCGGTATTGGTTGGCAGGTTGTACTTGTATGATGATATTAGTGTATTGAGAGGTTATAAACAAAAAAAGTTTATAATTCCAAATATATCATTACATCTCATCCATAATCCCATCATGATTATTTTTATTATTATTATTATTGTGCTCAAGTACGTATCCTTGCTTTACTACTTAGAGTCACTGACCTGGAACAAGCTTGCAGCTGTAGAACTGTGAAGAGTGAAGTGCTGCCCTGTATACCTGTTCCAAGTCAGTGAATCTTGAAATATCGAAGTCAGGTCAGAATGCTGGCCCTGGAGCGCACACCTTAACAAAATCAAGTCATATTGGCAACTGTAAAGAGGAAAGGATCGCCACTACTCCCAACCAGCCCAGGTGAATAAACAATATAGAGCAGTCTCAGCCTACATGTGTCCACCAGGCCACACACTCTGATGCTTTTCGCCTTGCCCACAGGACACTTAGTCATGGAGCCTATGACAAAGCCCTGGTGGGCAGGGCAAATACATCAGGGTGTGTGGCCTGGTGGACACATGTAGGCTGAGGCTGTTCTTTATCATTTATTCATCTGGGCTAGTCAGGAGTAGTAGCAATCATTTTCCTCTTTACACTTACTAGCCCTCTGGATTGGTCTTGGGACAAGCCTGAACCCTGTGTTCTGGGACACCTCTACTTTGAACAGTGCCAAAAGCAGTCTAACAGGTCATATTAGCAGCTCTAACATTACAGGCCTCATAGGTTCCCTTTAGTGCTTCTGTCAGTTGTCTATAGGAAGACTTTAACAGAACTTGTCAAGGCAGAAATATTGGAGCTGACTTATTTCGAAGAGGGAGACTCTAGGGCTTTTTTCCATCTTTTTTCAACACTAGTGACTCACTTTCCTTGAACAAATACTGCAGCCAGTGAAGTGTCTCAGTAGTGGTGACAACATGCTTTCCCACTGCCATTAGGGGAGATTTACTAAAACTGAAGAATGCAAAATGGTGCAGGCCTGTATAGAAACCAATCAGCTTCCAAGTTTTATTGTCAAAGCTGAACTGAACAAGCTGCAGTTAGAAGCTGATTTGCTACCATGCACAGCTGCACCAGATTCTGAGTACACTAGTTTAAGTTAATGATGCACCGATTTATCAGACGAAAATAGGGTTATCAGCGTTTTTCCTATAGGGGAAAATAAAAAAAAAAAAAAAGTGCTGATAATATTGTGTACTACTATTTTACATAGTTACATAGTTGGTCTGGCTGAAAAAAGACAAAAGTCCATCCAGTTAACCATAAAAAAAAAAAAAAAAAATAACTAACTTCAATGCAAAATCGTGTCCCACTGACTTCAATGCTAAATTGCGTCCCATTGACTTCCATGCAAAAATGCCTCCATTTAAGTTTTTTAATTTTATATTTATTTCATGTCAAAATTTTGTGTGTTACTTTCAATAAGTTATTTTACATTACTGGATTGTATGTTTAAAATTCATATTAATTTAGATTAATTATATTATTTTAAAAGTCAAATATAATACAATTAAATAATACATTTTTTTTTTTTTTTTTTAAAAACCGTCCATTTCGGTTTCGGTTTTCAGCCAAGTGCATCCTGAATTTTCGGTTTCGTTCCAGAATTTTCATTTTGGTGCACCACTAGTTTTAGTAAATCTTCCCCATTGTGTCAGAGACCCACTAAACTGAAATGTAACTTTTACTTCATCAAAAATGTATTAAAGTGTAGATTGTTCCAGTACCTTGAAAATACTGAATGGAAGGTTTTCAGCTTTGTAAGTAAGTTTGTTTGCTCATATTGTTGACAGCTAAATGTTAATAAAAATTCTCCTGTTAAAAATAAACTGTCCTGCAGTGATAGGAGATAGAGAGTTGATAAATATCTTTCCCTTAATAAGAGAAGCCCATACGTATTTCCAACCTGCTTACTCTTGTGCATTAAAAATCTATTTCTCTTTAACAACATGGTGCTCTACATTTCATGGCTGCGTCAGGGGAAAACACAGAGCAAAACATGGGGCACAACAGCAATACAAAATTCATATGCAGGATCTAACCCTTCCCCACTTTGTCCAAAGTAAATAACAATTTGGCTGGGCTTAGGCTTTAACAGTTATAGCCATTGTGTGCAGTGCTGATACTGTAGGAACAGTGATTATTCCTCTTTCATGTTTTAGCTACCGTTTGCTCTGATCCCAGTGCTAACATTCACCAGCCTGAGGCCTGTAATGAACGACTTTGCAAATGGACTGTAAGTATATAAACACAAAGTACTGTATGTCCTTTTTTATGTTTGTGGCAACATTTTTCCCTTTTCATTTTTTTCCCTAAACCCTGACGTATAATGTATATTTTACTTTTACCCAAAACTTACTTGTTGAATTTTATTTGCTTATAAAATATCTGTAGATATTTTCTGTATCTTAAAGAAACCCATTTGCTGTGTGAAAAATAGCTAGAATCACTATGAAACAAGATAAATAATACTCACCTGTCCGCCATCAGCGACTCTAATCTTTGCTCTCCATTCCAGAGCCATGGCCATTGCTGCTCTTGAACACATCCAGGTGTAGCAGATGTCATGGCTCTATCTGTGTGCTGTGGCTTCTTCCACTGCCCACTTTGGCACTAATGGACACAGTAGTGAAATAGTTGCTTGCTGGTGGATCCACAGGGTCTAGCGTGTCGGGTACCAAAGCTCAGGAAGAGAGAGAACAAAAATTTAAGTTGCTACCACTGGATGGGTCAGTAAATTTTTTTTGCAAGATGTTCCTTGCCATATTTAGTGGCGTAGTAACAGGCTCACTTTAACTTGTTTTAACTTGATTCATTCCATTCCTTAGTCTTTCTTTTAGCAGCTTTAAAGCAGGCATGTTATTATAATGCTACAGGCAGTAATCTGCTCTGAACAATGGTTTGCTCTTTGCCTTTCTGTCACGTTAATGCTCAGAGTGGCCATAGTAGAAGAAGATTTACATACCTTTCCTTTCCAGGCAAATTATATTCTCCTTCCTGCCACATCTGTGTGCCAGCCTTTTTCTATGTATAGGCCTGTAATGCTAGCCTCTAAAATAAAATAAGTTATGTTTCATTGTAAGCTTTTGATGCAACTAAGTGAATTTATTTTATATAAGCAGTTATTTTATCAGTCTATTCTTTAACATCACAGGGGTTGGAAGATAGCTGGTGGCATCCTCATCCTTCTCATATGCTGCATAAACATGTACTTTGTAGTCATATACGTGTCGGCCCTTGGAAACATTGGACTGTATGTTGGAGCAGCAATTTTTGTCCATTGTATATCTCTGTTTCGTGACATATTTGGTGAGTATGTTTGCAATATCTTATCAGACATCGAACAGGGAGAGAATTATGAATTTCCGCTATCAATGCAAAACAAAAATGCAGCCTTTTCTTTTTATCTAACATTTTCCTTGGGGACAGTGCCCTCTAACATCCTGCACGTGTCATCAGAGAAATCAGTAGAATGCTATTGCTAACTTAAACCTGAGAATACTAGTTGCTTGACTGTCATATATATTGTGAGGTGGGACCTGCAACCCTCATCAGCATTAGATGCCTGGGTTTGTGAGTATACAAAGTCTTGCCTCACTTTGACACTTTTTGTTGTCTGCATTGTGGTACAATATTATTATTATTATACAGGATTTATATAGCAAATATACAAAGGTGCAGCACTAATATTGATCTATGTGAACAAAACAAACGTGAACTAATAACCAATATCATAAATAATAAATGAAGTCCAAAGGAAAAAAGTGCAATGTCCAGCAGCAATAATGTGTGAATCAATGGTGATCAACGATGTGAAGTGACATCTATGACAATCCTCCACCACTATGCACTCACCAGAAGCAAGAAATAAACAGGCTCTGTGCAGGAATCCCTCCAAGAGATGTATCCTTTCCACTGCAGGAAATCTATATATAGCCAAATGACATTCACTGCGACTGGGCTCTATATGGGCATCCTTGAAATGGACTTCCCCTGCATCGGTCGGCGATCGAGCCAAATGTGGTAGTGATATAAAGAATGACAGAGCTCTGCTTCACTCACAGCCTGACAGTCACACTCCAATGATGTCACCCGCACACGGCGACCCAGAGCAGTCTAAAACTTTACATGGGGATGCTGGGATTGTCCTGTGTGCTCAGTCAGCTCAGCTCAGTATTCCCATCCCATCCTATGGGATACATATACAACAATACTATTTGATGCAAGAAGAAACAGAGGGCCCTGCTCGTTAGAGCTTACAATCTAGGAGGAAGGCTTTAGTGATACAAAAAAGGTAATAGCTGTGGAAGATGAGCTGATGGAGGAAATAAAAGGCAGTTTACTAGTTATAAGCAGGATGGGCTTCTAACTAGTAAAAGTTTAAAGAGAATGGTTTTCAGGGATCGTCTAAAGGTGGATAGATTAGGAGATAGTTTGACAGATTGGGGTAGGGAGTTCCATAGGATGGGAGAAGCTTGGGAGAATTCTTGGAGGCGGGCATGGGAGGAGGTGACACAGGAACTAGAGAGCAGAATGTCTTGGGAGGATCAAAGAGAGCGGTTTGGTAGATATTTTGAGGCCAGGTTAGTGATGTAGCTGGGGGAGAGTTGTGGATGGCTTTGTAAGTTGTTAGTATTTTGAATTTTATTTGTTGGGCGAGTGGAAGCCAGGGGAGGGATTGGCAGAGAGGGTAGCAGATACTGAACGATTGGCAAGGTGGATGAGCCTGGTAGCAATATTCATGATGGATTGGAGGGGGGATAGCCTATCTAAAGGTAAGCCAATGAGGAGGGAGTTGCAGTAGTCGAGGTGAGAGATAACCTGGGAGTGAATTAGGAGCTTTGTGGTATCATTGGTTAAAAAGGGGCGTATTCTGGAGATGTTGCGGAGGTATGATTTGGACAGGGATTGAATGTGGGCCGGAAAGGATAGTTCAGAATCCATGATTACCCCTAGCACTCTCGCATGCGGGGATGGGTTGATAGTGGTGCTAGTGATCCTTACCGAGAAATCAGGGGAAGAGGCACGTGGGGGAGGAAATATTATCAGCTTAGTTTTGGATAGATTGAGTTTTAGGAAGTGGTGTGACATCCAGTCTGATATGTCTGTTAGTAAATTGGTGATACATGAGGAAACTGATGGGGTGAGTTGAGTAGAGATAGATTTGTGTGTCATCAGCATAGAAATGGTAGTGGAAACCATGGGAAGCTATCAGCTGACCCAAGGAAGAGGTGTAGATCGAGAATAGGAGAGATCCAAGGACAGAACCTTGGGAGATCCCGACAGTAAGAGGAGTAGGAGAGGAGGAGGTTGAGTTGTAAGTGACACTGAAAGTGTGGTGAGATGGGTAAGATTCAAACCAATGGAGAGTACTTTTCAAGGAGACCAACTAAGTAGAGTTTTTTAAGGAGGAGGGGGTAGTCAACTGTGTTAAAGGCAGGGTAAAGGTCCAAGAGTAAGAGTACAGAATAGTGACCATTCAATTTAGAGGTTAGCAAGTTTGTGAGTTTTAGGAGAGCAGTTTCTGTGGAGTGTTGTGGGCGAAATCCAGACTGAATGGGATCAAGAAGGTTATTCTCAATAAGGTGTCAGCATAGCCAGTTGTAGACTAGTAGTTCAAAGGCGTTTGGAAGCAAGAGGGAGTAAGGAGACAGGATTTAGGTTGCTAAGATTAGTGGGGTCCAGTAAGGCCTTTTTAAGTATGGGGGTGACTAGCGCATGTTTTTAGAGAGTTGGGGAAGATGCCAGTAGAAAGGGAGAGATTGAAAATATGAGTTAAAGAGAGTGAAGGATAGAGCCAGAGGGTGACCTTAGAAGTTGTGAGGGAATAGGGTCCAGGGGACAGATGATTAGGTGGGCTTTAGAAAAAAGCTTACCAACCTCCTCTATAGTAGCTGGGTTAAACAAGGGAAGTATAGATTGTGGGGGTGGACAAAGAGTGTAGGGTGAGGGAGATATCTGTACAGTAGAGATCTCGTCACGAATTGTATCAATCTTATTTTTGAAGTGATTAGTGATCTCCTGGGCAAAGAGTGAGTGAGTGGAGGTAAAGAAGGACGAAGTAGAGAGTTAAAGGTAGAAAAGAGTTGACAAGGGATTGCTTGAGAGGGTGTTAATGAGAGTGATAAAATAGGTCTGTTTGGCAGTGTGGAGACAGGAGTTGTATTTTTGAAGGGCAGATTTATATTGGTCGAAGTCTTGCTGGGTCTTAGTCTTACTCCATAAAAGCTCCAGAGCATGGCTACGTTTTTTTGAGGCATCTGGTATTGTCTGTTTGCCAGGGTTTGTAGCGGTCGGGGCCTAATTCTGTGCCTGTAGGCCCATATCCTTTCCATCCACTAGGCCTGGGAGAGTGAGTCAAGAGGAGACCACCATGGGAGAGGGCAGCAGGAGAGGGAAAGTCAGATTCATGAAGCCAGGTTTCTGTAATTGCTGGCAGGTTAAAGGAGTTTGTGATAAAAAGGTCATGGACAGAGGTGAGTTTTACAGTTTGTATACAAAGTCTTGCCTCACTTTGACACTTTTTGTTTCCTGCATTGTGGTGCAATATGTTGTCTCATTGACGTACAGAGCAGTGGCTGTTGCCATGGATGACCTGAGCCCATGCTTTCTTCCCGGTTCTGGGGGTGTTTACCTGGTATTCCTGCACAGAATCGATGGCTGCAATCTAGAACTTGGGACCTCCTATTATTGGGTTGTTCTCATCCTGGACTTCTTTAGCTCCATCATTGAGGCCAAAGCCGCCCTTGTGTCCACAAAGGACCTTTGTGTCCACTTTGCACTGTTTGTGCCCAGTTATTAGAGCAGTCTGCTCTCAGAGGCTCTAAGCGCAGTCCTGCACCATCCCCAGCAGAGTCTACCTCTAGTTATTCATCTATGAGGACTGTAAAAACCCTGTAGCATCCTTGGTCCCTTTTAGATAATGTGGTGGAGCTTTTCCCATTTAAAGTGGAACTAAACTCATTAATATAACTGTTCCCTGGAACCGTTACATTCAAGGAATGCCTGGAATGCTAACTGTCACAGTTGTTTGTACTCTTATTCGAACTGTAAAGGAGCTTTAGCTGTGAGGACCTGTTGCAAGCATACAAGCTTTGACCTGTGTAGGTATGCATGTGCCATACCTAGACAAACCCTGTGGAAGCTGAAAAAGACCATATGATCTAATTCTCCACAGCAAAAAATCTTTAAGATTGGAAATTTTTCCTTTTAGTCTGCGTTTCCATCTGCCAGTTCTGGCGAAAACATAAGCAGTACATTGATACATTCCCGCTGCCAACTCGTACAGAGACAAAGCCACTGCAACTCCCTTGGGGATCCGTTCACTAGAAATGGAGGATTACAGGCGCAAGGGGGGTTATGACTAAAAAAGGCCCAATAGCATGCATTCCGCAGACTGCCTACAGAAAACCCCTAGCACCACTAACTGTGATAGCTGTTTCCGTGCCCTTGAACAATGTCCTATTGTGATTCTCTGCCAGTATGTCTGAATTCTTTAGAAAACCTTTGACGCTTATAGAACCTTTTGTTTCCAAAGGCAAAAACGCGTTCTCTTTCTTCCCTCTTAAGATATGGAGGAAAGTATTGAGAACATTGCTTTTGTAGCAGAGGCAATGTATATTCCTTCCTCTGATTCTTAGGCGGTACAAGCTATGGCCCTACACCAAATGCTTTCCACAGTGTACACACTAATTGATGTGCTTAACATCATTTTTACCCAAAATGATAGCACCTGATTCTCCACAACCAAAACAGATTACTGCAAGTACGAAGAGACTGACTAAATCTAAACAGACTTTTCCCATACATGTACAGATTGGTTGTGCACTTTGAGGGCTGGCTCAGCTCTGAAAAGGCGTATATTCCTCCTAAGCATTTTTGCTTATCTTTATGCTACGCAAAACACATTTTAACCACTTCCCACCCAGCCATTGTAGATAAATGACTGGGTAGGACAAGCACCGTTCTGACAGGATGTACCCGCACGTCCTCTCAAAACCTGGGCAAGTGCACGGCCTCTGGGCCATGCAGCAGCGTGATCCTATGATGGCTGTGTCCTTCATACACATCGCATCATAGATCGGGATATGGGCTCTCATATTGGCCCTCCCGATCATGTGATGGCTGTGTCCAATCACAGCCATCACACAATGTAAACAGAGTCACGTGCCTCTGTATCTGCTCTCTCCCTGAGCTCAGTGAGAAGAGGGATAGAGGATCTCTGCATCCTGTCAGTTGTCTGTGTGTAGCTGCTGATTTTCCACACAGATCACACACCAGTAAACAGTGCACCAAGCACCATCTGTCCCTGTCCAAGTGCACATCAACAGGGTATCGGTGCACAAAAACATCTGTCACAGTGTACATGTGCCCCATCAACATCGGTCACAGTGTACCAGTACACACCAACATCTGCAATAGTGTTGCATTGCAACATCAACATCTGTCATTGTCCCTAATGGATCGTCAACATCTGTTGCTGTCC